TGGAAAATTCTAGTTTTTCTAGATACATCGTTTTTAATATATATCTCGACATAATGTGTAACTAGTTGAATAAAAAAATTACCTAGTAGAAAAGATAAAATAACATAATTATGGGTGGTAACACGAGCCAATGGTTTCGCCACAGAAATAAAATAAACATTAAGCATATATTGGTTGGTCAAAGAACAGTTCCAAAATAAAGAAAAAGGATCGTTCAGCCGATATCGTGGCAACTAGCCTTGGTCTTCTTTTCGTCAGAAACTGAGGGCCTGTTTAGTTGGCAAAATTTTTTGGTTTTGGGTACTGTAGTATTTTTGTTTGTATTTGATAATTAGTGTCTAATTATAGACTAATTAGGTTTGAAAGTTTCGTCTCGCGATTTCTCACCAAATTGTGTAATTAGTTTTTTTTTCGTTTACATTTAGTACTACATGCATGTGCCGCAAGATTCGATGTGATGGATTGGGTTTTGGATGAAACTAAACAGGCCTGACATTGCCTGGTTACGTCACGGCCTTTGCATCACCTGGGGAATAAGAATTCCATCATCATCATCCGTTGACATGAATGAATGCCCGATGGACACGACAAGCATCTCCAATCACACGTGGCGAATTATTCCTGCGGCGACCAAGCCAGCCGCACGATCGGATGCCGTGCCGACCAACACAGCAGAGAACGTCTGCACGGTGACCGCATCCGCGCCGTCCGATAGTGATCCGACGGCTGCCGCTGCTCGCTCGGCACTGTCGCCGTCGTCTCAGGCCGCAGTAAAGCGCGGTCAAGATATTCGGTTTCCATTATTCCCACCACACCACAGCAGCCCGTGAGAACTGAGCAGAGGCATCCGGCCCGGCCAGCTATAGCTGGCCCAGTCGCGCGGTCAGCGGTCGCCCGTGCAATATAATCCATCGACATGCATGATGGGGGCTCGGTCTCATCGTCGTCAATCTCGTCTGGTCTGTCATGCATGGAGACCGCACCATCTCCATGGCGCCACTCAGGAAACGCACTGCATTTCCATGGCAACTTCCAGAGAGCCGCACACTCACACATATATACTGGGTGCGGCTTATCTGCAGACTTCTTTCTGCGTTTGTTTTTAACTTCACTAATGACTACTAAAAAATGATGATTTTGACCATCCTTTTCAGCTTGTTTGACCATCCTTTACTTTTGGTTCAGAGATAGTCCAAAAGTTGCACGTTTACGATCATAAAAAACACCAAACTACTTTCGATTAGGCCAAAAGTTGCAGAATAAAAAAAAAACCAACCTCATTTTGAAAATTAAAAATCTAGTCGTAGAAGAAGGTTGTCTCTAAAAATATTTTGATTTATGAAGACAGATCCGACTCTGTAATAAGATTAGATGGAAAATTGTAGAAATCATAACTATCTCTCGGCCGCCTCGCCTCCCCTCTTTAATTCACCACCAACGCCCACCTTTGCATTTCTCTCGGTCACACCGCTATTTGTCTATCTCCATGGTGGCATGTCACCACTCAGCATAGCATCGGCAACTAGATGTACTCCCCACGTCCTCAGCTGCCCCAACCGACCAGCACCTAGTGGATCTACAGAGGTTGTGAGTCACTTAGATCTATCCCGCCATTTAGGTGATTGCGAACTCTCGACTGTGTGCCAGTGACCAGTAGATCTCACGCGTTGTTGTCCGCCTGCCCGTCCCTTCCTCAACTCCTCTACACACGATGTACGTGGATCCCCACTGAGATTTTCACAGCCGCATCGTTTCGATCCATGTGAGAGCGCGACTGGTGGTCGGTGTATCTCTCCAATATGCGTCAGTGGATGTGGATCTCGCCTGCACGCCCTTGGATCCATTAAGTAGGACCCATATGGTAAGATTTAGCTCCCTCCCTCTCTCTCCTTCTTCGTTCTCTCCTCTCTCTCTCACTCTCTCAAACTACTCCTAGTTCATATCCGTAGAGGTGGGGCGGGAGCATAGATCCAAGACACATCTTCGGCTTATTCGATGTGGCAAACTAGGGCCACCTCGATGTTGCTGAGGGCCCAGTAGCCTAAGAGAAAGGGATGATGGTTCCTGGAGTTGATGTGGCAGGGAGGATGCAGGGCCAACACATTGGGGAGAGGAATAAGGATTTCTTGGTAGCTAGGGCTAACATGTGGATGCGACAATGGAGGAAGAGGATGAGCTATAGTGCCGAGCGAACACTAAACCAACTTGCCTTTTTAGAGATGATTGCAGATGCTTTGTAGAGGTGGCTGGACTAAGCTTAGATTGCTAGAAATAAGATTTTTACGGACGGGTGGCAACATAACAACCGCTTCTAGAAATCATTTTCCAGGATTCATAAATCGGACAAAATAGAAAAAGTTAATCTAGGAAGGCCTCCACTAGACAACCACATGCCCTGACCACTGCACTCCACCCAAAGTCACCTGTGACTAAAGGGCACAATATTTCCCTCATATTCACTTTACCCGATTTTGAAATGAGTATTCGGGACCCTAAAGTAATTCCAATGAAAAAGGTTTTCACAACAAAGTTGTAGATATCGTCAAGTACTACAACTTTGGTTTTCGTCGTTTCTCCATCCGGGGTCGTTTGAAAATTTTGAATTTCAAATTTAAGAAATTCAAACATAATTTTACTAGGATAAATGATTTCAAATGAAAAGGTTATCAACTACAAGTTGTATAACTCTTTGAAATTTACAACTTGGGCTTTTGTCATTTCTCCATCTGAGATCGTTTGAAATTTTTTAATTTCAATATGTGAGGACTTCAAACTAAATTTTGGACCATAGATTATTTCAAATGAAAGGTATCAACTGCAATGTTTTATACCTTTTTGATATATATAACTTTGGTTTTGGTCATTTCTCCATCCGAGGTCGTTTGAAAATTTTAAATTTCAAAATATGAGAACTTCAAACAAAATTTGCTAGATCCAAATGATTTCAATTGAAAAAGTTGTCAACTACTTCCTCTATTCCAAATTATAAGTCGCTTTGGCTTTTCTAACAGATTCATAAGTTTAACTATGTATCTAGACATAAGTGTATATCTAGATGCATAGCGAATGGAGGAAGTACAAAGTTGATATCTTGATGATACATACAACTTAAAGTTTATCTTCATCCGACTCTGTTTGAAAAAGTTCTAAATTTTTCTGTATTGCATCTATTTTTAGAGATGGCTCCAACCGTCTCTAGAAATCCATTTGCAGAGACGACTGGATCTAAACCACCTCTAAAAATAGGGTCATTTGTAGAGACGGCTGAAAATACCACCTCTATACAAATTCATTTCTAGAGGCGGCTTGTTTCAGAAACCATTTTTAGAGGAGATTGTAGATTGAGGTGTCTTTATTCAAAAAAGAAGGCGTCTTTACAAATGGTTTTGTAGCAGTTGAAGAAAAGGATTGCCAACCTCATTTTTTAATGATTAATAGAAACGGCCATCTTAGCACACTGCCTTTGCTCATTTTTTCTACATATAATTGTGTGCTAGCTCTATATTTGCATTATGCCCGTTTGTGTTAATCTTCTTTTTGGTAATGTTTAAATCTTTTGGGTTCAATTGCGCACTAGGATCCTTGGTTGTAATAGCTAGTGTGTCCTGTGTATAGATTTGTACTATTCAATATAAATCCATATGAGTTGTTACATGCTGATAGTAAAGGCTTAAAAAGTTTTAATTTAGGACAAACCTAGGTGGACTGATATTGTGATCAAAGCAAGTGCAATTTTGTGACATGCACATTAATTAATCGATGTAACTTAATTTATTCTCTATGTCTACTATTAGTTAAATGCACAAGCATATACTATATGAACTCTACCAACATTCTATGAGCCACAGAGACATTACACCCTCACCTTTATAAACAAGTTCGAGATTTATGTGGAGGATCAGTCAAAGTTAGGATTTATGTTGATTATTTATAGACAAAAGTGAATAATTTGTATGCAAATTAAAGGATTGGTATTTTAGATTATCATCTATAATGGCTAACATGAGTAATTTAGAATGCACACTCAGGGTCACTTTTTATAATTGCAGAGGGGGTATTTTTTTTAGAAAATGAAGAAATAGATCTAATATAGAATGACTATTATTATTGGAAGCTACCAACAAATATTTCTGATTTTTAAAGGAATTTTTATAATGCTATTCGTACAGTACTCATTGATGAAACATTTCCTAGGAAAATTACTTTTCAATCGTTCAGTCTATATATGTAGTCCGCTTAAGTTCAAACTTCAAAGGACGGTCTGCAGAGACTTTTAAAAACAAAGCAAATAAAAGGACAAGTTCGAGATTTATATCGAGGATCAGTCAAAGTTAGGATTTATGTTGATTATTTATAGACAAAAGTGAATAATTTGTATGCAAATTAAAGGATTGGTATTTTAGATTATCATCTATAATGGCTAACATGAGTAATTTAGAATGCATACTCAGGGTCACTTTTTATAATTGCAGAGGGGGTATTTTTTTTAGAAAATGAAGAAATAGATCTAATATATAATGACTATTATTATTGGAAGCTACCAACAAAAATTTCTGATTTTTAAAGAAATTTTTATAATGCTATTCATACAGTACTCATTGCTGAAACATTTCCTAGGAAAATTACTTTTCAATCGTTCAGTCTATATATGTAGTCCGCTTAAGTTCAAACTTCAAAGGACGGTCCGCAGAGACTTTTAAAAACAAAGCAAATAAAAGGACGATCGGTGTTCACTATTCATTATTAGTATATTTTAATTAGAAGAAAGGGGGAGATAAAGTGCTAAATTCTCATGGAATACAATTGACCACTGCAAGCTAGTCTAGTCTACTACTACAACAGTATAAGAAAACCCGACCCGTTAGCAGCCCATATATATATCATCGAGCGCGCACGAGGAACACAACGAACAAGCCGGCCGAGACAGGCCGGAGACAGGACGCGCCGCCGCCGCTACAAGAGAAGCACGCTGACTGATCGGCATTAACCGGCCGGCTGCCATGGAGATGCCGCCGCCTCCTCCTCCTCCTTTTGGTGGCCCCGCCGCCCCCGGTGGAGGCAAGCCTGACAGGAAGACGGTGGAGCGCAACCGCCGGAATCAGATGAACGCCCTCTATTCCCGCCTCGACACGCTCGTCCGTGCCGGCAGCTCGCCGTCGTCTGCAGCCGCAGTTAGTGCTCATTCATCATCGTACATATATATATATATCATCACCCATGCATGCATCTTTACGTACCAGTGTAGTTAATTAATAATTATATATCCGAATGAAATTCATGAAAGAAATGAGATCTCTTGCTCAAAAAAAGAAATGAAATCTCATGCATGATGGTATATGATCGTCGTACCTGATCGATGGATGTGTGTGCCTTTGTGTCGATATCAGGCGGTGCAGCGTGGGCCACCGGCGATGACTCAGCCGGACAGGCTGGAGGAAGCGGCGGCCTACATCAGGCAGACGACGGAGAGAGTGGAGAGGCTCAAGGAGAGGAAGCGGGAGCTGATGACGTCCGCAAGGGCTCCGTCGTCCCAGGGCTCCGGCTCCGGCTCCTCCTCTGCCGCTGGGGCCGCGGAGGTGGAGGTGCAGCACCTCGGGTCCGGCCTGCACGCCATCCTCGTCACCGGCGAGCCACCGAGCGAGGGGGCGTCGTTCCACCGCGCGGTGCGCGCCGTGGAGGAGGCCGGTGGCGAGGTTCAGAACGCCCACTTCTCTGTTGTCGGCGCTAGGGCCATCTACACCATCCACACGCTGGTAAGTCCTCGATCATCGTCAATTAAATTTTTACGCATATGCATGCAGTTAACTCATTGAATCGAAACGTTATATTGCATTGTTCTTTCAATCTACGCATACGCATGATTTCTTGTTTGATTTTGCAAACTTTCTTTCGAGCAAATGATTTTTGCTTCATGATGAATCGCTTATCCAGTATGACATGACCTTACATTGCAGGTCGCAGAGGGTGGCATTGAGAGGGTGGTACAGAGGTTAAAGGCAGTACTGCGTGGAGACGCATGATCTTATGCGACAAATAATAACAAATTTGGGCTAATGCATGCTTGGTAAACAGTAAAGTATTTAGGGCATTTCCTACTAACTTTGTGTGAATGGCGGATGCAAAGCTGGGGAACTGCTTCAGTGGTGGCGCGTTGGCTAACTGCCAGTCAACGCGCGCTGTCTTGGAGCTAATGCATAAACCTGCTCTCTGCTGCTGGGTGCTTATTGAGGCAGATAAAATAATAATATTGCTACTCCAAATGCCTTTTGATCTTTGACTTTGACAAGGTAAAAGATCGTTTTTTTCTTAATTCTTATGGATTACTGCCTTCAACAGCTTACGATCACGCTGGAGAGTGTAAACGTGTAACACGTGAGGCAGTGAAAATTGTGCAACATTTACAGAGATCTTTAAATATTTATTTGTGTATACATGATGCAATGGTGAATGGATATCTGATCATCATACCTTATGTCACGGTTGTACACTACTACAAAATTAACCACCTGCACCAGTGTGTAACACTTTATAGATGTTGATGAAAATGTTTGCTCTGACGATTCCCAGAGAACTGATACAGGTTTGTGAAACCAAACTAAATACGTAACTAATTTGTTGAAAACTGCACAGAAGCAACACAAGATTGTTAGGCCCACGGAAATAAGTTGACCAAGTGGTAAATAGTCGTCCTTTGATTTAACGAAGTCTCCAGTGATATTTGAACCAACCTGCAATATTTCGTTCACCTTATTAACTCAACTTGATGGGCGTGCAAAACCATACACTGCCACGAAATAGAATATCTTGGTGGCCAATATTTTCCTTCAGGAGCAAAATTGAAACTCAAGAATACATCATTATTACCTTTGGGCCGGGGTTGTGGAAGCCCTCATGGAAATGCATTTCCTTAGTGCTAACCCAAACCTCCAAAGTATTTCCACCTTTTCTTGAGTGCTAGAACAAACTGCCAAGGTAATTTAATATTTCCTTGAGTGTTATTACAAACCGCCAAAGTAATTCCTTATTTCCTTGAATATTATTACAAACCGAAAAAGTAATACATATTTCCTTGGATGAAATTGGAAACCGCCAAGGAAGTGCTAGTTTCCTTATATGCAAATCCTCAAGTAATTTGCTGCAGCCACAAAGAAAAAAATGTTCATTTTATAATTATTCCTCTTAACCACTAATATAATGGACTTTTGTAGGCTTGTTAGTTAGACATTATATTTTATAGGCACAAATGCTCCATTAACATGTTTGTCGAATGAAATACGGGCTTTTCTCGATACATTAATCCAACAAAAGATACATTTTGAGTTGTTATGCATTAGAGAATGCGTATTAGCACTTAGCTTGACACTACTACTGAAACGCAAATTTCCTTATCGGTGAAAAAACAAACAGAAAAATTACCACACCGACATAAAAACATTTTTCTGATGGCGTACCGTCAGAAACCTACCGATGAAGACAAAGTTTATATCAAATTTGTAGAGTTCTAAGAGATCTACATCTTTGTGTTTGATGACCTTTTCATTTGAAATTATTTAGAGTCCAAAAATTATATTTTAAGTTCTCAGAGTTTTGAAATTCATTTTTTTTTTGAATTTTTAAAATGACCCCCCTCTCTCCTGTGTGTGTCCTTGGTGGTAGGTAGAAATACCATAGGGTCATCAGCCCTCAATAAAATATATACCCTTAGTGGTTGTCATATTTCATTGACGTTATGAAAAACAAGACTTCGTCTTTCACTACTGGAATCTCGCATTTTTCTGTGTGTGCGAAAACACACAGAAAAATACGAATACCACTAGAAAAATATTTTTCTGATGGTGTACCCTCAGAAAAATACCCACAGAAATATAACGATAGAAAAATTTAATTGTTTTGTGTGTTCGCCGTCAGAAATAATTTTTCTATGGGTGTTACACGCACAGAAAAATTGCGTTAGCCCATATTAAATTTAAATGTTGTGTACGTTGATCCTCACAGAAAAAAAGAAAAGCCCAACAGGAAAATGATTTTTCTGCGGGTGTTACACGTACAGAGAAATTGCGTTAGCCCAGATTAAATTTAAATGTTGTGTCGGTGTTGGTTAACGCACAGAAAAATAACAGACCACCGACAAAAAAAACCCTTAACCATGCAACAAATTGGATACAATAATTATATACAAACAGAACAGTAGTAACAACATATTAAATATGGACTATCCATACTGTAATTTCATCACAACATAATAGATAGCATACATATAAAGATCCAAATGTTCAGCACATTCATTAATAGCATCCGGGCTACATATAGATGATGTCCAAATTGTCCGACATGTTCAACATGAATACTACAACGAATTCACAAATATGGATATCGAAAAAGAAACCAAACTATTTTTTCTTGTTCAACCAATTGTAAACTACTTCACCTTGCACTCCATCTCTATTTGTAAGAACAGTCAACATGAATACTGAAAGGATCAAGATGCCCAAGCGGGGGGTGAATTAGGCTAATTCTAAATTTCTTTGCAATAATTAAATCCTACGGTTAGCCCAATTAACCCTTTGTGTCTCAAAAGTGTTTCTAATTGTTTTAGCGCATAAAAGACTTGCAACCTATGTTCCAATCCTACTCTAGCATGGCAATTCTAAGAATGTAAATGACAAGAATTGAATTGCTCAAAGTAAATGCTCAAAGTAACGTGAGAAGGAGGAACGTGGCGATGTTTTGCCGAGGTATCGGAGAGTCGCCACTCCCCACTAGTCCTCGTTGGAGCACCTGCGCAAGGGTATAGCCCCCTTGATCCGCATAAGGATCAAGTGCTCTCTACGGGTTGATTCTTCGACACTCCGTCGCGGTGAATCACCCACAACCGCTCACAACTTGAGTTGGGTTATCCACAAGCTCTCCGGATGATCACCAAGCTCTCTAATCATCATCAAGCCATCTAGGTGATGGCGATCACCAAGAGTAACAAGCACGAACTCTCACTTGACCACGACAAGCCTAGGGAGAAGGGTGGATACACACTTTGCTACTCTTGATCTTACTAATGAGGGCTCTCTTTGGGATTCTCAAATCTCAATCACCTCACTAGGACCTTGTTCTTCTTGGCACTCTCTAAGGTGTTTCTCAGTTGTTGGAATGAGTAAAAGTACCCTCACACATGAGTGGAGGGAGTATTTATAACATGGGCTAAAATGAACCGTTATATGCCTCTGCGGGGTGACCGGACGCTCCGGTCATGTTGACCGGACGCTACGGTCAGTACACCCCGAACTCCATTGTTTACAGTGTGACTGGACCGGACGCGTTCGGTCATGATTTTCTCTCTCTGGAACCTTACTGGAAACGACCGGACACAGGCTCTCAGCGTCCGGTCACTTCACCTCTCAGCGTCCGGTCGCACCGAACGATTTCACCTTGGTCAAATGAACTGACCGGACCCTGCACCAGCGTCCGGTCAAACCGGAACCAACGTCCGGTCAGTATTTAACCCTCCATTCACTTCCAACTCTCGATCATGTGAATGAAGTTTGTTCCAATAGATCTTAGGCATATTTAGGAGCTACCTAGTGCTAGTTTTAACAAGTGTGCATCACACCTAACTCACTAGACTCACCTAGGTCAAGCTACCCGTCCATACCCCCCTTAATAGTATGGCCAAAGGAAAAACAAAGTCCTAAACTACTCTAAGTGTCTCTTCAACTCCAATCGACACTTAGAACTAGTCCATCCTTAACCTTGTCATCCATCCTTTAAAAACCAAAACAATTTCCATCATAGAGGCATGACCACCTTGATTGCCCAATCGATCTCTATTACCATGACCTAACTTAATTGCCTCTACAAAACACACGTTAGTCATAGTAATCTTGTATTATCATTAATCACCGAAACCCAACAAGGGGCCTAGATGCTTTCAATCTCTCCCTTTTTGGTGATTGATGACAATACCACCTCGAGTATGTGAAAGAGATGTGGTTTTTAACATGCTTGGATCATATAAGCTTTTGTCAATAAGAACAAAAGAGTTAGTCAAGCTTATATGACCCAAGCCATCATAATGTACTCCAAAGATATGAAATAAGCATGAGTACAAGTAATAAAGCTCATTTGCATCGGAGTAAAATGCGGAAGCAAAAGCAAATGAGCATAACACAAGTGATATGACATATAAGTAATTCAAAGTAGAGAGCACACATGTCATATATCACGATCACATAGATATCACTATCACATATATATAGTTCAATGCATGAAAATAAACACACGATGAATACATAGTAGTGTATCACACATAAAAACTCCAAATGTAGTATATAAGCTAATAATATAACTAAGCTCCCCCTAGATAACTCGCTCCCCTAAGGCTAACATACTCAATCCCTCTCCCCCTTTGACATCAAACACCAAAACCTAAAGGTCGGTCGGTGGGGCTGCAGTGGATGAGCCGGGCGTTGAGGTACGAGGAGCGAGCTGGAACTGGGTGCCATCATCGTCTGATCCCGAGCTCTAAGCTGTCTGACCCTCTGAAGCTGGAAGTGATGCTAAAGCGATGCTAGGTCGGATCGAGGACCTGGAGCTACTATAGGCTATCTTTGGTACGATCAAGCAAATGGCTCATGATGCTACTCTTGAAGGGAGCGCTCTGTGCAGTGCCTATCACTAGAGCAATGGTGGCAGGTACAGGGACATGTAGGTCTAGCGGTGTAGGGTGCCCTGTCAACTCACTGAAGGAAGCACCAAGGCTCCTGGACACTGAGGTCTCTAGCACTAGCAGCGAGGACATCTCTACCAGTATGAAGCCCATATGAAATGGTGTAAACTATGGGGCTGGCAGTGATGTAGCAAACCACTGAGACACCTGCTCTGTAGGAGAAGCAAACTATGCTAGTGGTTGTCCTTGACTTTGAAGCCCACTGGGCTGTAACGCTAGAGTCGTGGAAGTGGTGGCAGTTGACCAAGCTGGGGCGAAGGCTGTGATGGTGGAGCCCCAATAGCTGTCACTACATGCTAC